TTTTTATTTTTTTATAGACAGAGTCTCACTCTGCTGCCCTCAGCAGAGTGCTGTGGAGTCACAGCTCACAGCAACCTCCAGCTTTTGGGCTTAGGTGATTCTCTTGCCTCAGCTTCCCAAGTAGCTGGGACTACAGGCACCCGCCACAACGCCCGACTATTTTTTGTTGCAGGTTGGCAGGGGCCGGGTTTGAACCCGACACACTTGATATATGGGGTCAGCGCCCTACTCATTGAGCCACAGGTGCCACCCTGGTTCTGATTTAAAAACAAAACAAAACAAACCTATGTCTTGGTGCCTGTAGTTCAGTGGTTAGGGCACTGGCCACATACCCTGGGGCTGAGGGTTCAAACCTGGCCTGGGACTGCTAACCAACAAAGATGATAACAACAAAAAATAGCTGGGTGCTATGGCTGGTGCCCGTAGTCCCAGCTACTTGGGAAGCTGAGGCAAGAGAATCACTTGAGCCCAAGAGTTTGAGGTTGCTGTGAGCTGTGATGCCACAGCACTCTACCAAGGGTGACATAATGAGACTATCTCAAAAAAAAAAAATCCTATATAGTCAGCCATTGCCCCAACAACAATTATTCAATAATCTATCTTTTCACTACTTACTAAAAATTCTATTTTTATCACATACTAAATTTGTGGTCTTTTTCTAGATATCACATATTATCCTTTTAATGGACCTATTAATTCTCTTGCCCATACCATATTGTTGGTTTTTCTGGTAGGTCAAATACTCCCTAATTATTTTGCTTTTTCAAAATTTTCTTATATATTCATACACATTTATTCTTCCAGATAAAAATTGGAGTTACCTAAGTTTTCAACTAAACAGCATTGGGATTTTGATTGGAATTAACTTGAGGGAAACTGACCTATTTCAATTTTAAATCATTTATTCAAGGACATAAAATATTGCCCCTTCTTCAAGGTGTATGTGTTATAAACTTTAAAAGTCCTTTCTATCCTAAGCCTGAAGATGCTGGCATGGATCTGGAGAGAAGGGAACAATTTTACACTGTTGGTGGGACTGCAAACTAATACAGCCTCTTTGGAAAGAAGTATGGGGAATTCTCAAAGAACTCAAAAGAGACCTTCCATTTGATCTTGTAATCCCATTACTAGGCATCTACCCAGAAGAAAAAAAAAATCATTATAAGGACATTTGCACTAGATTGTTTATTGCAGCTCAATTTACAATTGCCAAGATGTGGAAACAACTTAAATGCCCATCAACCCAGGAATGGATTAATAAACTGTGGTATACATATACCATGGAATACTATTCAGCAAAAAAAAAAAAAATCTTTAAAAGGACTTTACATCTTTTGTATTAACCTGAATGGACCTGAAACACATTGTTCCTAGTAAAGTATCACAAGAATAGAAAAGAAACTATCTAATATGAAGCCAGTAGAGGATATAATAATATAAGCCCACATAAGAGAAAAACTCAATTCAAGTTGGGGGGAAAGGGAATGAGGGAGGGGAAGAGATGGGAAGAGGGAGGATTGGTGTGTTCTCACTTAATGGGCACAACGTAAGGGTACATGGCACACTTCTTGGGTCCAGGACACACTACAATAGGAACTCTACCTAACAAATGCAAATATTGTAACCTAGTTGTAACCTCCCATTAATCTGAAATTAAAAAATAAAAGTCCTTGCTAGACTGGGCATGGTGGCTCATGCCTGTAATCCTAGCACTTTGAGTGGCTAAGGCAGGTGGATTGCTTGAGCTCAGGAGTTTAAGGCCTGTCTGAGCAAGAATAAGACTCTGTCTCTAAAAAAAGTCCTTGCTAATAGCTACAGCTGATTAACAAGTTCTGAAATATACATGCCCTTTGTTTTTAACAAATAAAAAACTAAATTGATTAATAGGTGAACATCTATTAGTAGTAGGTAGTTGCTATGGATTAAATGTTTGTGTCCCCACCCCTAATGTGATAAAATCTGGAGATGAGAAGGTAATTAGGTTTACTTTGGATCCCCGTGACAGGATTAGTGCCTTTGTAAGAGACACCAGAGAACTTGCTTTATCCTTGTACATACAAATAGATCATGTGAGCACACACACAGTAAGAAGGCGTAGCCCCTGGTACCCTAAAGATCCAGCCTACCAGTGGATTCTGAATTTTCAGGCAGAGGTGTGGTGCTGCTTCTCCTAAAGTGCAAACCTCTCTCTGCCAATCCCTATGGAGCTGGAGTTCCTACTAAATCCGGAATTGAAAATGGCTCCTTTTAACATGTTAAGGTATTTATTAGCTTGGAAAGTTCTCCTTCCATTCTCCCTTTCCTCTTTTCCTCCCGCTTCCCATTAATCTGCTTGTACAGGACACAGTGAAAGGGAAGTTTGGGACTTGATTTGACATCCAGATGAGAATGCAGGCAGGCAACATGAAACCCACAGGCCTTGACTTAATGTCCTATTTTATCCTGACCCAAACCTTTTACTACTAGTTCAGTAGCCACTGGTCATGAAACAAGGTTCCAAATTCAACATAAGACTTAAATTCTTGGTGAAACAGAAAGAAACAAAAACAGTAGTAGTTGTTGAAACAGTAATTTATAAGGCAAGCACAACAAAAATAATGCTACATTTAACTGAAAAACAAACTATACATGTTTTTTGAAAAGACAAATGACATTTTAGTTGTAACTTTTTATTTATTGTGCACAGAGAAGATAACTTCAGAACAAGATATGTAGCAATGATGGTCTATGTCCTAGGAGAAGTTAATTTCTAAAATTTGTGTTCCAAAAACTGTTTAAATCTATATACTTTGTAAATCACACAGAAGAGTGCACAACATTGACAACTTAAAGTTATTTCTGAATTTAAATGTGCATGCATTTAAAAAATTCTTGTTTTACTCAACCGGCTAAGGCGCCAGCCACGTACACCTAAGGTGGCGGGTTCGAATCCCCAGCCCGGACCCGCCAAACAACAATGACGGCTGCAACCAAAAAATAGCCGGGCGTTGTGGCGGGCGCCTGTGGTCCCAGCTACTTGGGAGGCGGAGGCAGGAGACTCGCTTGAACCCAGGAGTTGGAGGTTGCTGTGAGCTGTAATGCCACAGCACTCTGTCCAGGGGGATAGCTTGAGGCTCTGTCTCAAAAAAAAAAAAAAATTCTTGTTTTATAACAGCTTTGTCTTATATTTATCACTTTTAGATATATTATATTCTGCTTCAGAAGTATTTTTAATAAGAAATGGATCATGTTATATGGGGGAGTGAAGGTGGGTGCTTTTAGCACTTTGGAAATACTAAAGTTATTTAAAATATTTTCAATTGAACTATACTAGAACCTCTGTGATACAGTGATGATATAGAATTATCAAATCAGATGATATCCCAGATTTCATTAGTAATAATGTTCTTAGGAGAGATCCTGTGAATGTGCTATCAGCATGGGTCCAGCATATCCTCTGAAATGCTTTGCCCTCAGTCCCCTAATTTAAGGGAAAAAATAAAATCATTTTCTTTTAGACTACACATAAGCAGTATATAGTTACAAAAATATGGGACTAGGTGACAGAGAACTACTGCATTTTAGTTTTGGCTCTGAGATTTTAACCAAGTCATTTGGTTTAAATTTCCTCATCTATGCAAATAGAAATAATAATTCTTAAGTCATAGAATATCTGGTATGATTTAATGCAGCAAAATAGCATCAAGTGGAGAAAGAAAGAGAGGAAGAAATTGAGAGGTCAATATACGTTAGATGCTATAGTTATAAGTGAGGCTCGTAGGAGCTTCTTTAGGTCCCTGACTGTGCCAAATTAAAATTTTAAATAATTCATAAAATGCTTTAAATTTAAATAATCCATTCTTCTTTCAAAAGAAATATATTTAATTTTAATATATTTTAAAAGGCTTACAATTACTAAATCTTAAAAGCAGAGTAAATCAACAGGTGGAAAATAAACATGCTTTCTATAGGTCTTTCTTTCCAAATGTCATCTTTTAGCAGACAAATACAAAGTTCATAATAAAATAATCTGCATGTTTTATATTTAAAAAAACTACTTTTCAAAAGGGACCCTAAAAAAGTTAAATAAGCATACTATTTAAAATTTTACAGTGGAAAAAACTCTCACACATAGTTATAATTTTCTACTGTCTAAAGACTATTTTACAGATGAATATATAATTTCATACAATATTTAAAACATTCTATAGGCAAAATTCCCTCAAACAAAATTATAATTCAAAATGTTATTCATTAAATTTTTTGGAGAGAAAGGATTAAATACATCAAAATACGCTGAAAAGACATTTAGTTTTCTAAAAAAATAAAATATAGTGAAATCAAGAAAATGAAACATTATAGATCAAAAGCTATTAAAATTAGAAAAATATCTAAGCACCACTATTAAAATATAAATATCATAAATTTAATAAACATTTCAATAATGTATTTTTCTAGTAACCACACATGGATACATCTACATATTTAGGAAGAATCCATACCTTCTTGTTATAGATGATAAAAAAAAAGCCCTGATAGGGTTATAGCCCTTTATTTGATCTTACATACAAATAACTTGAAAGTGGTAATATATGTGTTTTTAGTTCATAATTTCTTATTAGGAAGTTTAGCTACTTATGATAAAAAGTAATTTAAAATTACTTTAATACTTTGATTCTTAAAAGTCTAGCTAGAATACATACGGCATATGTATGTCTTTATAAAACTCAATAACCTATTGATAAGTATTTTGTTTCTTAATCTAGGTAAATTAAAATATTCTAGAACATAATCTTAACAAAAACAGCAATCAACAATGCAATGTGTATAAATATCAGATAGAGGTCCTTTTGATATACACATATGTATATCATATGTGTCAAATACAAAGCCTCTGAATTATATTTTCTACTCTCCAAAACCTTAATAGACATTTATAATTTTTATTTATCTAATCATTATTTACTAGGGAGATTTGCTGCTCAGACCAAAGATGTTCATAATTTAAACAAAAGATTACTAGTTTTTCATTTTTTAGGTTTAAGAGGTATATTTCTTTCAATACCTTATATAGTAAAACATATCAGGAAAAACTATTAATCGTCAGATGTTGTACAATAAATAATTACTTAGGTGACAAAGGATTAATAAAATTTTCAATGTCTGCTAAAGAATCATGAAGTCCATCATTCATATCTTGACTTCTAAGAAATTTTTTAAGAGTATCTAAAGCAGTTATTGCCTCATTTTTTGATGGTAATGGGAGTTCAGTGTCTATTGATCCACCATCATCTTCTTCATCAGAAGTATAAAACCCAGTTTCATCTGATTTACTTTCTTTGGTCAAGTCCGTATCATCCTTTGGTGCTGCTTCACATGTCTCCAAATCATCATCCAAGGCAGCATACTCCTCAATAGATAAACCTGCAGGAAATTCCACCCCTGCTCCCAGGGCATCGGCTACCCAATCAATACTAGGATCTTTCTCTGCATTTGTTGTGTCGCTTTCTCCCTTTTGAGATTTGAATCCCGCCTCTTCATAGCTTTTAACAATAGTCTCTGAGGTTACAGCCCTCCAACAAAGATGTAATGTATCAATTGCATCTAGTAGTGAAAATGTAAATTCTTTGCTGCCTTCAACAGAGCTTAAAAATTTCTTAACTAGACAATGTCGATATTTGATTTTAAGGTCTTTAATAACGCCCTGTTTCATAGCTACACATTTAGAAGGTAAACATGATGGAAAGAATGCTAATTCAATGGACTTAAGGTTCTTTACCTCTGGATGAGCAGGAAAAGAATCAACAAAAATCACCACTCTTCGCTGCTGGGCTTGAAATTTCTCATCAAGCTTCCTCATCCATTGTTCAAATATATCTGATGTCATCCATGCCATTTTGTTAGTTTCATAACACACAGGCAATGATTTTATACCTTTGAAACAATGTGGATTTCTGTTTTTTCCAATGATAAGCAAAGGAAGCTTCTCTGAGCCATCCATGTTTGTGCCAACCACCAGAGTTATTCTGTCTTTGCATAACTTTCCAATTGAGCATGTTTCTCCTTTAAATGCAAATGTATTTGTAGGTAGCATTCGATAAAGCAGCCCAGTCTCTTTTATATTAAAAACATTTGTAGGATGATAATCATTTAAATAATAAGGAAGTACATTTTGGTACCAGACAGTTGAAGGGTCTACTGATACACCTGTAGCTTCTACAGGTTGAGCTCTGAATACTAAACCATACCTGGATTTAAAACGATCCAGCCAACCATTACTGCACTTAAAATCATTATGACCCAGTTTCTGGGCAAAATCATTAGCTTTTAGACGCAACATGGGGCCATTAACTGGTACATTTAGACACTGAGCAATTCGATACCACCTCATTAATGCCTCTTCCAGATCTGTGTAAAAAGCAGTTCTTAGTCTTTTTCTCTTTGGATCAAATCTTAGAGATTCAAAGGCTTCCAGAACTTTGTTTTTATTCTTCATAATAGAAGATAAGGAATTTTTTTTAATACCATATTCGGCTGCAATCTCTGCTTTTTTCTTGCCACTTTCCACTGCATTTATAATGTCAATCTTTTCCTCAATGGAGAGGCTTTTCTTTTTTTTCACTGTTACAGGAAGAGCTGGGGCATCCCCTGAAGCTTCTGCCATTTCAAACAGTGCTTATGTAGAGACTTTTCCTCTTATTTCCGTTTATTTTTTAATTTGTTTTACAGTATGATACAGATTGCTACCTTCTATTCCACCTCATGTATTAAAAGTTAGTAAGTGTCTACTAGTCTTATTTTTCAGGAAATTTGCAAAAGATTTGAAGAAAAATGTTATACCCAACTAGAAGATAAACTTCCTTCCTAGACCTTGTGTAGCTCAGTTTATACTTTATTCAGAGCTCTAGAAGTCAAGCTAAAATAGAAATCTCATTATGTCAAACCTGTTCAGCGCTGCTGACATATTTTTGGAACTTCAATCCTTTAAGATGATCCATTTTATCCATGCACACATTCAACCTTGTATTAATTCTCCAAGAAGGCCTCTGAGATACGAAGTCAAAAATGTTCAGAAATTTTCACACAAAACGTTATCTATTAATTTCCAAGTCTCTTCATGGTAAAGAAGAAAATCATAGGTAGACTCCTTCTAGAACTCATCAGCAAATATTCTTCTGCGTCTTGAAAAGTTAAAAACAAAAACCAACAACAAAAAAGAGAAAGCAGCAGTTTTAGTAATATGTCAAGTGAACATCAAAAAGAATATTTATACAATTTTTTTGGCCTTAATAATGTAGAGAACAGGAATATGTTACTGAAAATATAATAATCAAAACTTCTAGGAGAAATGCTTACCTCCAGAAGGACCTCTCTGTAAAATGCTCTCTAGCTCTGCTCAATGCATTTGAATTCTCACTTGCCTTTGAATACTTTATAATAGATAGTTCTGAAATAAATCAGACAAATTTAGTCTGTTTTGAAAGTGTGGGGTTACCAAAATTAAAGAACTAAAAATGATGCTGGATAGATCCTTGGTGGCTATTTTTTACATGAGGATACAGACTGCACCTTCTTAACTTCTCTAAAAGAAAAACAGACAGTAGTCACAAGGTTCAACTTTTAATAGCATATGGGAAGACAATGTCTCCTTTACAGGAAACTGCTTCACTAACAAATCAAATCAAGTGATCGATAATTCCATTTCAAAAAATCTAAATCTCATTCTACCTAAAAGTTTAAAAACCCAGTATCCATTTGACACATTAGCCAAATTTACAGAGGCCAAAAATACTTGACAAAATTAATAGCGATAAACAAATTATTAACAGATCATAATGCAGAAAAAGTAAGAGTAAAAAGGAGAGTGATCATGAGTCTTAGCTTCTGAGGACCTCTATTTTTTATCTATTAAAAAAAAAGTGCTAGAATATCAAAATTGAGAAGTGGCTCTGCTATTTAGTCCTTATGTGTGATCCTAGGTCATTTACTTACCTATGTGAAGCCTCAGCTTCCTTTCTGTAAAATGGGAATAACTACAGCAGCTACCTCATAGGGTTCCATATTCAAGACATTCAATGAACCAGTAAAATGCACTTAGCACAGTATTTAGTGCCTTCAGAAAGTGCTCAACAAGTGTATGGTAATGGTCTCATCAACATGTTATTGTCTTTCCTATATCCTTTGGCTGTCTCAATCTACAATTCAGAAAATTTTATAAAATCCTACTTGCAAACAGAAGCAAGAACTCCACCTTACATATATCCTGAAAGTAAGTCCTGAGACTTTCAGAGTAGCTTTTTTAAGTCATGAGAACAGTCTCGTGGGCCTATATGGGTTAACTTCTGCTTTCCCAGTCACTATTTCCCTTACCAGAACTAATCAGCTTTGAGTCTTCTGCAGTCAAGATAACAATAGCCTAATTGGATGAGTGGTTGTTACTACTGTGTGACACTGCAGGTACTCTATTCCTCTTTACATGCTTCCAGGTTTCCCAGATGACAAATGCATTTTTTTTTTTTGAGACAGAGCCTCAAGCTGTCCCCCTGGGTAGAGTGCTATGGCATCACAGCTCACAGCAACCTCCAACTCCTGGGCTCAAGCGAATCTCCTGCCTCAGCCTCCCAAGTAGCTGGGACCACAGGCACCCACCACAATGCCTGGCTATTTTTTGGTTGCAGCCATCATTGTTATTTGGCGAGCCCAGGCTGGATTCGAACCCACCACCTTAGTTGTATGTGGCTGGCACCTTAGCCACTGAGCCACAGGTGCCAAGCCAAGAACCAATTTTTCAACAAAAGACAAAACCAAGCAAAACTACTCTCTAAAAGAAAAAAGGCAATCTTCCAACTTCTTTCTTAACTCCCTCTTTCCTTCCCTTTCTTCTGTCCTTCCTCCTTCTCTCCCTTCTGCCTTATTTCATTTGTCAGAAATAACATCCATTATCTCAAATAACAAGGATTATAGAAAGATTAGCTTGAATTTTCCCTTATCTCATCCTACTTAAAGCAATATAATATAATCAGAGATTTTTCATCATCTTCTTTTGTTTTTATAGAGATAGAGTCTTGCTCTGTTGTTTAGGCTCATGATGGCAATGGTGCCATCATAGCTCAATGTAACCATGAACCCTTGGGCTCAAGCAATCTTTCCCCTTCAGCCTCCTGAGTAGCTGGGACTAATGGCATGTACCACCATGCTAGCCTAGTTTTACATTTTTTTGTAGGCACAGGGTCTCACTGCCTCAGCCTCCTAAGGGGCTAGAATTATAGATATAAGCCACTGCACCTGGCCCTCAGTGAAAATAATGACAGCTTTATTTATTTTTTTTTCTTGAATTAATAGTATGTACTACTTTCAAAAACATCAATCAAAGCTACAACTTTCTTTAGTAAGATACAATATATCTTTATTTAGAAAATAATCACATTCTAATGCCAAACCGGACAAACTAGACTTTTTCCTTACAAAAGAATAAGGTACTAATACTGCCTCATCTCCCAGAGTATAACATCTGGGATATTTTTTTGTAGGGAGTAATGGCAGTAGCCAGTATTTCTCAGAAGCAGTCATCCTTTCAACTTAGGCTCATTACTTATTCTCCCTCTTAAAACTATTACAGCACAGAAATGTGAACTACACATTAGGGAATATTTTCTTTATGTCAACAGTAAAGCTAACCAAAAAATAAGAATAGGCAATTTACCAAAAAAGAATTACCAATAAACTCCAAATAAAGAAAATAATGGTCATTCCCACTACTAATAAGAGAAATATAAATCAAAAGAGACACCTTTCTGTCTTTTGTTTTTGCCTATCAGAACAGGAATATCTAGGGTTTGTCAAAGTGCAGTAACATAGGTTGTTAGGAAGCATATAAAGTGGTACAAAGCTTATGGAAAGCAAATTAGGAATATGATACAAAAGCCTTAAAAATGCACATAACTTTTTATCCAACAAGTCCATATCAAGGATTTTATCCCATAAGAATAATTATAGATATAAAAATTTCTTACAAATGTGATTAATATTCTATTGCTATGTAACAAATTGCCATGTATTCAGTGGCTTAAAACAAACACCCATTTATTATCTCACAGTTCCGTAGATCAGAAGTCCAAGCAGGCTCAACTGGGTCCTCTGTTTAGGCTCTCACAAGACAGAAATCAAGATGTCAGTCTGAGGATGAGGTCTTATCTGAAGGCTCTGGAGAAGAATTTGCTTCCAAACTCAATCAGGCTGCTTGCAGAATCCAGTGCCTTGCTACTACAGGACCGAAGTGCCTAGTTTTTTTGTGTTAAGCCCTCTTCATTTCAGCAATGGAGAACACTGTTCCTGTAGGATCTCTTTCATACTTTGACTCTCTTTGACTTCTTCATGAGAGGAAAAAACTCTCTGCTCTTGAAGGACTCATTCAATTATGTAATGTCCAGCCAGATTATATCCTTTTTAATTAACTCAAAGTCAACTGATTAGTACCTTTAATTACATCTGCAAAATCCCCTTGCAAGTAACATAACATAATTATGGAAGTAATATTCCATCATGTTCACAGGGGAGGGAATTATACAAGGTGAGGGTTGCTGGAGGTCATCTCAGAATTCTGCCTACTAAACAAGAAATATTCCTCACATTGTTGTTATATAATTATAGACAAGACTGGAAACAACCTAAATGTGCAACAAAAGGGTTAGTTAAATAAATTAAGAAATATTTATATGCTGAAATATTATCAAGCCTCTGAAAGAGAAATTTACTGATGAGAAAAATTCCATAATATATTAAGCGGAAAAAGCAAAATACAAAAACTATATTTCAACAAATACAACATATACTAAAAATTACATGAGAAGAAAAGGCTCATGCTATTCCTACAGAGATCATTACCAGCAAACAGCAAGTTCTTAATAATAACTAGTCAACATTTTTACAACTCTAACGTTCTACTTTTGTACCAGAGTCTTAAAAAAAAAAAAATCAATATTAGGAAACATAAAGCGGCATTCTTCCCATTCAGGATTTCTAGAGGTAATAAGTTACTCTCCTATCAATAGTTCACAGTCCTCTATAGAGAATCAACTACTTTCTAAACTTAAGAAAATGCTCACTCATCATCTTCCACAAATAGATTGCAACTGTGTCCACTTAATTCTGCCTGTACCATTACCCTAAGTAGCGGCAGTTTCGGGTGTTCTGGAACTTGCCTGGTATTCGGCAGACATTATTTCTATAACCCAAGCAGAGCTAGTCAGTTTCCTGGTGCTATGAGAGAATCGAATAAGTCCAAGTCAGTTTTCCAAAAAGGATCTCATTTATCATAGGAAACAGATATCCAGAGACAGCTGCAATGAGCAGACTACAACGGGGGCTTGAATTAAGGGCCACGAGAACAAAGAGGAGAGAATCCTCACAGGGAGGATAAAGAATGGGTTCATGATAAAACAGGTAAGGAGAGATAGGAAAACATTTCCACTAATAAAAATAGAAAATGTAGCACGAAGAAGGAAAATTACAGGGCAAGTGGAAGCACAATGAAGCTTCATATTGATACCTATACCTATTATCTGTTAGTTGGCTGAATTAGCTCTTTTCTTCCAGATATAAAAAGAGAGTATTCATTTAGTTGACTATATGCTGTATACCCTGGAAAACAAGATTGGTGTTAGACCTTGGTAAATTTGAACGTCAGGATAAGGAATTATGTCACAAATGCCATTTAAGTTCTTTTTGAGTGGAAGAGTGACAAGATCACATGAGAAGTTTTCCCCAGTTATCACAGTAAATGTAAGAGAGAACTTTCCTGCTTTTGGAAAGAACTGATACTCAAAGCCTTAATATCATTAAGTTCATCAAGTGTGCAAGTAGAGTCTGTACATAACTAAATGAAATTGAACATGTATTTACCATAATTGTTTTTAAAAGTTAAGAAATCCTCACACTGTACATCTTCACTCTGTATATTACCCATTTGGGGGTTTCTTAAAATGTTCCATTATTCAGCCGCCTCTAATGAAGGATTTGCTTCCCTTGCTGTGTGATCAGCAACCTAAATATCTTTCCATGAAAAGATACTGATATGGAGCAATGAAATTTTTTGAGATATCACCAGAATTCTCACACAAAAGATCTGAAGGTAATACCTTCTTGTTTCTCTTGAAAAAATATAGATAAGCAATATATAGTATTCAACATCTAATTCAGAGATATATGATTACATGCATAATTTATTCATTCAGAAAAGAATAAAAATAGCATCTTTTAACTTGTTGGCCACCTTTCCTTCTTGGTCACTAAAAGAAAGGCAGGATACTACATACAGTTCTCCACAAATTCAGTAAATAAACAGTACCTTGATTTTTCAAAATCTTAATAAACAGCCAATAGCAGTGCAAAGTGAGATGACTAAATTATCTCCATGTTGTAAATATATATGGCAGGCGGCTTTTTTCTTATCTCTCCAAACATAAATGCCAATTCAGAGAAAAGTAGTAATTTATTCTTCCTAAACAAAATGAGCAGGCCGGATTCCCCAAGCTCTAGGCCAAAAGAAGGAAAGAAGGGAAGGGAGGAGGTTGAAAGGAAGGAGAGAAGGTACGAGAAAGAAAAGAAGAATAGAAGGAAGGCAAAGAAAACAAAATAAAGAAAAAGTCTCCATCTAAGCAGGGCTAAAGTAAAGTCTTTGTTAGTACTAAAAATTTCCCCCAAATCCAAAGAACACTGGCTGCTGCTTCCTTTATCTGAAAGGATGTATAGAATTCCACTATTTTCCATCATCAGTTAAGTGTTTTTTTAGAACCAGACTGCATTCTAATTTCCTTTGGGGCAGTAGAAATCATGGGAAAATTAATCCCCTGTATAGCCCCACACAGAGTAATACTATGGATGAAGATTAATCATGCACAGTACCAGTCTCACTGAAGAGTATCTAACATGATTAATAGCATCTTTCTTTTCTTTTCTTTTCTTTTTGGTAGAGTGCTGTGCTGTCACAGCTCACAGCAACCTCAAACTCTTGGGCTTAAGTGATTCTCTTGCCTCAGCCTCCCAAGTAGCTGGGACTACAGGCGCCGGCCACAATGCCTGGCTATTTTTTGGTTGTAGTTGTCATTGTTATTTGGCGGGCCCAGGCTGGGTTCAAACCCACCAGCTCTGCTGTATGTGGCTGGCGCCCTAGCCACTGAGCTACAGGTGACAAGCTGATTAATAGCATCTTTACCAAGGAAGTCATTGTTAGTTCTAAGCAGTTTCTAGTCCATCAGCATGGAAATCAAAACAGCAGCAGCTGCCAAGGAAATTCTCCAGCTAATGGCAAACTAAAGCAAGTGCTCATCTTTCTGGTATAAGAAATACTGCACCTCTGAGTCTAATAATGAAGCTAAGCACCCCCCAAACTCAAGAGACAGCTAGCAGGAACCCTAAAGCAAGGGCCAGCTCAGTTAAGTACTTATTGTCCACATAGTTCCAGCACTGCTGAGCAATACCATGCAGTTCTTCCAAGTCACCCTTCTGAAACCTTGAGAATAAGGTTTGTACTTGGGGGCAGCGCCTGTGGCTCAAAGGAGTAGGGCGCTGACCCCATCTGTGGGAGGTGCAGCCCTTGCCACAAACTGCAAATTAAAAAAAAAAAAAGGTTTGTACTTGGCTACAAGTTTTGTTAACTACTTTGTTTCTATACAATAAGAGCAGTAATTATGTTAGATTGGGATTCTTTTCTTATAATCGAGAAGACTAATTGTTACCAAACCAATAGCTTTGAACAGAAAAATCCACTGTAAGCACAGTACTAAAGTTACAGTTCGAGTGCAATGCCATGTATAGTTATTCTTTTCTTTTTAAACACAGACCCATTTGAGATAAGAAAGGGCTTGTTACACATGCGTACACACATTTATGTTTTGGGATTTCAGCACTGTTTTTTAAATGGTGGCCCTGCAGATCTCAAACTATTGTTATTTACATTTGAAACACTTACGGTTATTACAGATATTTACTATTCACGGATTTGGGGGAGATACCTGTCAGGGATATTTCATTATATTGAAACTCCCTAGAAATTTGTAAGATTCTCTGCCTTTGGGCACTTAGTCATTAAAAACATCAGTTAATGTGACAAAGGCAGTTGAGAAGCACGGTCTGAAAAAGAGTAAGTCCCACCACGATCATAGTTACCCTTCACGTTTCTACGAGTGAAACAGGAGTACGAATGAGCATGCAAGGCTGTCAAAGGAAAAGCAGTAGAGCAGTGGAAAGGAAGATGTATGTGAATGGACCATCTGTTTGTATTCTATGTAAATTAGCTTCGGATGTCTAGCACCACTAGAGCCACACTTTCTCTCCATTCAGTGTTGGGTGTTAGGTGGACCAAGCTAACTCCATCTCAGGTTTGAAAAAACCATTCTGTGAGACTCCGTTACAGGCAGACATAACTTAGATAAGGGAGACATGCCACGGAGCTCCAGTTACAAACTGTAAGAAATACGTTTACACCACAAGCCTCTGACACCCTGATAAGAGGAGCCAGTCCAGAGAGCCCCCGATAATGAGCTGCATGTTCTTGGCGACCCGATAAGAGTTGTCTGTAAAGCCAGCTGCTGCTCTTCAGCCTGCCTTAAAAAGAACTGCCTCCCTCCTTAACATTTTGATCTCAGCCCGCCTGCACCCAGGCCTGAAATAAGCTTTTCTGCATGTTAGTTACATGTGGTCTCTCGTAAGTTCATCCGGTGCCTGGTTTTACCTAACACTAGGGCCAGGGAAAGTTCACAAATGCAGGCTGGGGCCTCAATTTAGGAAACTACGAAGGACGCTGAGAGAAGGAATTGTTGAGCGGTTTCTGTAGACAGACAGTGATGTATTTAAGAAGCAAGGCGACGGGCAAAGAAAGCAGAGGTCAGACGTCTGGAAAAAGAAAGAGAACCAGGAAAGAAAAGTATTGAGATCCACCGTCAGCGAGCGAGCAGAGCAGAAAGTGATCACAGACAAAGCATGGAAAAAAGGGCCCAGGGACGCCAGGCATGGAGGTCTCGTCCACCGGGAAGAGGGGGTGAGGCGCTCGCGACCCGTCCACTCCCTTATCCCTGCATTCCTCCACCACCCCCACCCCACTCCTCTAGGCTGGAATAACCTTCTTCGTGCTCTCCGGTGGTTGAGAAAGCTTTGGCTCTTCTGTGGTAGCCGGGCGGCGAGCGACGTCCACCTTCACCTTCCCGGCTCGGGCTCACAGGCTGTTGGCGGGACGTCTAACGCCTAGGGTTGGGATGTGTAAATGAAACAGAAGGGACACGGAGGGCTCCCCAACACCTTCGACTTCTCGAGACCAGAACCGCGAGCCCTTTGCAAGCTCCCAGCTCTGCTCGGTGCCGTGGGACCCGCGCGCACACCCTCTGCTTTTCCGCGGCTGTCCGAAAATTACCCCGGCAACGACACCGCCGGAGCCCCGGATGTGGTTGCTAGGGCAGCGGCGGGAGGGGCGGGGCCAGCCTCCTGGAGGGGCGGGGGGAGCTGGGTGGGAGGTGCGTTGGCACCATCGAGACGTGGCCGGGCCCGGCCAGATTCCGCGGAGAGAGAGGCCGTCCAGGGCCGAGGACAACGCTACTTCCGGCCTCCTCACTTCCGGCTTCGCTTCTCTAGGTGCTGGTTCTGGAGGCCCGGTTGATAAGTCGCCGGTGCAAAGTGTCCTCGGCGGTTGGTCAGTGTGAGCTTGTGACAGCTGCAGTTGCTCGCCGCCCTTGAGGATCCAAGGTGCGTGGTGGGTGGCGAAGAAGGAACAGGTCTGGGTCCGTTCACTTCTTGCCAGGGTTGAGGCGATTTATGGGGAGCAGCGGCAGGGATAATCCTCGACTTGAGAGCGGTCGGGTTCCCTAGCAGACCGGCGAGGGCGGAGCTGCCCCGCCGGGGAAGAGGCGGGGGAAAGATGATTTGAGGTGGCTGCCGGGCGGACACGTTGCCTACGGATTCGCAGTTCTGGACTTTGGACGGGACACATCTATCCATAGTATGCGACATCTACCCAAGTATTCTTTTGGTTTCTGGCCCTTCATTCCTCTTGTCCCCCTGAGTGTGCCCCTGAAGCAGTCCTTTGAAGGGGTAGGACCAGCCCTTCCAGGGCGGCACCCTATTGGGAGGGTGGGAAAGGGCTTGAACGATCCAGATTTTTTAATGACAAAAGTGTCGGAGTGACCCACCTTCAGGTTTGATGTCCAGCCTTTATTTTTCTTCTCTCCCTGCATCCCCCCCACTTCCTCTCTGCCGCAGAGAGAGGAAGGGAGATAGTGATAGTCCCTTCGAGAGGTTCATCTGGCACTGGTACAGGGCCTTGCCTATGAAATGTCCCAAGCCTGACTGTGATTATGAGGACGTCCAAGGCATGCTGGAGTTTTGGAAAAGGAGTTGTACTGTTGTCCTCTGGTCTGTTCTTATTTGTCAAGTTACTATGTTCACGCGCCAAGGAAAAGGAAAGAGTTTTTTAAAAAACAGTTTTTACTAGGTGTTTTCCATTTTACTTTATTATTACTTTGTTTTGTTCTTATCTTCCTTTTGAGCTCTTTGATCTTTACACTTCCTGCAAATTCTGTAAGCCACTCTTTCGGGATTTCTGTCCCTTTCCACACTTGGTTTCCTTTTATAGTATGTAAATTTCGCTAACTTACTTGGTAAGGGAAAAATGGAAGATTTGCAAGACATTTCGTAAACTTGTTCTTTTGAATGTGTTCACATCTGCCATTTAATTAACTTCACTAGCGTAGAACTGTGCACCAGAAGTGGTTAAGTCAGCCCTCTTGATTATTTAATGTTTTTCTCGTAGAGCGACCACAGATGTTTTAATTCTACTTTTCTTCCTTTTGTCCTGTATTGTTGTTCTTTTTGTTTTCCTGGCTCTGTGTGACCATTAGCCTCTTCCAACCAAGTCTAGCACTCATATGAGAAAAAGAAAATGTTTCTAGTCTTATTTTCTGGATTAAAATTCCTGTATCAGTTACCCTGGTTCTTTTTCACATTGATTAGTTTTTCTTGGATTATGATTTGTCTCAGTCTTAGGTCATGACTTGAGGGCCATGATCTAAGGGTCGGCAACTTATATGACCCACTCCTGAAATTATATGCAGAGTTTTGAGTGCGTACCCCACCACCCAAAACATGTCCGTGCTTTCTATCAGATTCTAAAAGGAGATATAACTTCCAGATGGATTAAAACCACTACCTAGACGTGTCTTGTTGAAGTTAGTGAAAATAGTTTTGTTTGTGGAGCTGTTATTTTTCCAGGTAAATGGCCTGTTTGGGGATCAAAGACAGTAGAATGCAGGGATTCTAGCTTTCTGTACTTCAAAACTTCAGTGTTTCTAAATTCCTTCCTAGACTTAGAGAAGGAAATGAGACTCCCTGTTTTGGTTCCTGATTTGTGGTTTTGAGGTTTCTTTTTAGGGATAGCTCTCTGTGGCCAATGCTCTGGAGATTCAGCAGATTTATAAACTGCTGTGCTTATCATTATCAAATACATATTACATATCACCAATCTACTAGGTACAGTTTGGAGTGGAAAATTTAAATTATGGTTGTACTTTTTTTTCATTTTCTTTCTTTTTTTTTTTTTTTTGAGACAGAGTTTCACTTTGTTGCCCTTGGTAGAGTGCTGTGGCATCATAGCTCACAGCAACCTCAAACTCTTGGGCTCAAGTGATTCTCCTGCCTCAGCCTCCCAAGTAGCTGGATCTACTGGCACCTGCCACAATGCCAGGCTATTTATAGGGGCAGCGTCTGGCTCTGGCTCAGGCTGATCTTGAACTCGTGGTCTCAGACAGTCCACCTGCTTTGGCCTCCCAGAGTGCTAAGATTACAGGCATGAGCCATTTTCTTATTTTTCATTTGAGGTATCTGCCTTAAGCTTTGGCTTTGCTAGGGTAGGCAAACAAGATGTTTCAGTAGTATGGTCCATAAGCCTTTGGTATGTTGCTGCTTATCTTGATAACCCTTTTTCCTCCATTCTGTATTAAGCTTTTTTTTTTAAAAGACAATCCTGGAACAAAGTTTATTGAGAAAGAAAAAGGTAAAGAGTAAGATCAAGAGACATTCACTATAGACAGTGAAGAGGTCTCCATTGCCAAGGCAAGTAGGCAAAGTGCCCTGTATTATGCATTTTGATCATTATTTCTCTCATGAATAAATTGTATTCTTCCAAACTTACTGTAAGTGTTAAAGTGCATATTTGAACTTACTATTTGGTTGTAAAGTGTTTTTGATTGAGGGTTGAAGTTCTAAAGGTTTGACACTATTTTTTAATCAAATGGCAACTTGAAGACACCTATCTTGAATAACCAGTTTTGCTCTTAAGATGAAATCATTTTTCCTCTAACATTCTCATTTGGGGGAGCAGTTGACATCTTTGGAAAGAATAGGTTGTACTAAGTTAGTGTCATTCTAAGTCAATGACAAATTCAGAGGATTGTATCTAACACCTTAACGTGTATATTTATGTGCTTATTATGCACCAGGTACTACGCTAAATGCTTTACATTATTATCTATTGCTGCCAGCCACTTTATAAAGCAGCTAAAATCTTCATTTTTATAGATGAAGAAAGTGAAACTAAATGACTAACTGAAGCTAAAGTAATCTGCTCAGGATTACACCAGTGGAGCCAGGATTTGAACTTAAGTTATCTGACTTCAGACTGTAACTATAGATAGCTTCTGCAGTGCTTTTATTATATACCTTTTGGTAAGTTGGGGATATCTCACTGGGTGTTTTCTTTCTTTTTTTGTTTCTTTCCTTTTCTTTTATTTCTTCTCTTCCTTTCTTTTTTTGAGATGATGTCTCACTAAATCTTTCAGGTTAGTCATGAACTCTGAGGCTCAAGCGATCTTCCTGCTTCAGCCTCTAGAGTAGCTGAAATTGTAGGCACACGCCACTACACCTGCCTAAATTTTGAAAGAGACTCTGTCTCTTTATTTCCTTCCTCTTTTTCCTCCCATCGCTCATTCCATTCTCCTTGATTTGTTTGTCTTAGGGTGGACATCGGCAGATGTTGCTTAGTTCTGTTAACAGTTGATTCCTAAGGAAGGAATTATAAGATATCTTTATGAAGTACTTTTTTTTTCCTGAACAAACATATTTATTGAAGTGAATAATACTCTGGTTTCTCTTCAGATTACATAAATCTTTTGCCTTTTAAGTGAATACTCTTCTTCAGAGTAAGGCAGTCTGCTTTGAAATCTACCTCTAGTATTTCTGTCAGTTCAGCTTGAGACATAACAAAAGTGAAAAGTTCTTTCCTGGCTTTATCACTTCACCTTAGTCACCAGAATCTATTTGGAAAAAATCAGATTGTCTCTTAAAAGACAAAGATTTGCCACCCAAAAGGATTTTTTAAATATTGTGAGAACCAAAGGTATTTGTAAAACTATCATTTGCTCAAATCTTTTGTAAAAAGATTTGGTAGTATAGGTGGCGCCTGTGGCTCAAGGAGTAGGGGGCTGGCCCCATATACCGAAGGTGGTGGGTGCAAACCCAGCCCTGGCAAAAAAAAAAAAAAAAGGTAGTATCTTTGCCATGTCCTCACATAAGATTTGTTATTTTTGTCTATCTATGATAGCATCGAACTAGGAGCTCCTTGATGTTCAGGCTTGATCCTTTTTGGTCCATTGGAAAACAATGACACATTGCCTTTGGAGTGGGATCTTAAGAGTGACAGAGTTGGTGGTGAGCCTTAAATTGTCCAGAAGAGAGAATTAGTTGGCCAATTCTGGTTTCTGTTAGCATGAGATAGTGTCCAAGGGCAAAGTTTCCAAACTTTTCTACATTGTGGCACACAGAAAAAATGATTATAATTGTATGGCAAACGATAGTCAGGCCCTCCCTGGTTCCCGGAAGCACATCTGTACTCCATTCTTGGCACATGGGTTGGAATGCTTCTTTGTCCTAGAGAAAAGAAATATTTTACTCTTTGTTTAATACCTTCTGTTTGTTTAGTCTGTAATAATTTACAAGTACTTTCACACACATTCTCATTTTATTTTTACTCTAATCTTGTCAGATAGGTAGACCAGATAACATTTGCCATGTTAGAATGAAGAAACTGAGGTTTAGGTTATGTGTTATGAATAAAGGACACACGTAAGAAAGGATGGATCAAGAATTCAAACCCCAGTGGAAGAGTCCTCGGAGGTTAAGCCGGTGGCCTGTCATCACCGGGATGGCCAGGAACCCTCTCTCTGGTTTCAGAGTGCTACTTTCAGCATCTAGGACAGTACCAGGCACGTAGAACCTTATAATAGTTATTTATCGACTTCTTCTCCAGCTAGGCATTATGCCTTATGGATATTATCTGTGTTGTCTTATTTTTGATTAACAAATGGAGAAACAGATACAGAAACCAACAGAA